TGGATGGATGGATGGATGGATGGATGGATGGATGGATGGATGGATGGATGGATGGATGGATGGAAGGAAGGAAGGAATTAATTAATTAATTAATTAATTAATTAATTAATTAATTGAAAAATAGCTTAATCGATCCAAAGGGAAATTCTTTGTTTTGTTTTTTTTTCCAGGAACTTGTTTATGTTATTATCCTCAGACAGGAATGATATTTTGTAGCAGTCTGTCTTACAGCAGATCTGGAAAAGCCTCTGACTGAAACACGGTTGCTGTTTAACAGTCTTCTGAAGAGCTTTATCATGGTTCTACATCATTTTCTTTGCTTTATGGAAAATCCCTCTTTGTGAAATTATGAACATAATATTCTGGAGAAATTCTTCCCTTCAGTTTTCCAGTTTTCTTTAAACCTGTTTGCTCTGAGGGTTAGAAAGCGCAGCAGAGAGAGAAACTAGCCTGCAGCCATATTTCAGTAAAAACATAGCACTGAATTCCAGATCATTTTGTTGGGTCTTTGTTAGGGCTTGGAGTTCACATTTCTCATAGAGAAATGGCCGTCTAAAGAGATAGATGGAATTTCCTCCTCCTCTCTCTTCTCCTTGCTCCAGGTCTACATTCTTAGTGCTTCATTTTCAACTCAACTGGCACTTATGAAAATACTAGTATTATTGTTTCTTCTTTAAAAACTGTTAATGAGTTCCTTCAGGGTGGGAAAAAGACAGTTAGCTATAGTTGCTGTGGTTCCGCATTAAAAAAAAATGTCCTAAAATGAAAAGATTTTGGCAAAATCCTTTCAGCTAATCAGAAGAAGCTATGTGAAAATGCTGGCATTTCATCATATAACATAAAATAAGCACTGCAATTTCATTGTACATATTCTAATAATGATAAATTATCTCGCTGCAGGATGCCTAAGTAGGTTTGGAATTGTTTTTTTTTTATTTCTTGTGAAGGAGAAGGAATATCAGATATAGAAAACCTAAGTTTTTATTTTTATTTTTTTACTTTTACCATAAAAAGGTTAAATTCGTCCATATCACTGACCAATGTTCCATATACATCATAGGGAAGTTTAAGGTATATCTACATTATTACAGTAATATTTTTATTTCTTGAAAAACCTGATTCATACATTTGGACGCATGCAGTAAACGGAAAAATGCAGAATAAATTGCATGCAAAAGGTTGCTGTTTCACAAATTATACAAATTAAAATTCTGCAAAATTACATTTTTTTCACATTTTTTAAGAATCATAAATTATCTTAACCTGACAACAGCCAGACATGCATCTGGCTGTTGTCAGGTTAAAATTATCTGCCTTCAAAAACAGAATTTTCTACTATTTTATGGTTGAGTCTTTACTAACATTTACTAACCGAAGTTTTTTAATTGCTGAGAACTTCATTCAGATATATAAGAATAAAGACAGAAGAATATAAATACCTACACCTCCGTTTTTTGTTTTTTTTTTGTTACATGAAAATAAATTAAACTCTGATGTTAATGATTGCAATATGGATTAAAGAAATATGGACGAGTTCAATCTCCCAGTGTTTACATATTTGAGTACAGAGAGCAGTTTCATCCATTCATGGAAAATTTGAGAAAAGACCTGGCAGCTCCGCTTGCTTCATCTCCTCCCTCACTCAACCAGATAAACACCGACGCCTCGTTTCTTTTCCCTTCTCTTTATTAGTTTGGCAGAATCAAATCAGAACAGATACGAGACTATCTGTGACACACGCATCCACACACACACACTCCCTGAAACCAGACAGTACTAACAACAGCAATACTTCATTTACTTGTGTCCTAGTCGTTTAGTCCGAGTCTTTAGTGGAGGGATTCCAGGCTGCCAGCTCCATGAGGACAGCGTCCTCCGACTGTCCTCCTGCAGTCCCACTCCATCCTTCCTACCAATACATTTCAGCGGTCTACAAACACATCATAGTACATTCTGAAAGCTCTAAAGGACATCCACTCTGACCTAAAGGCTGCTTATTCTGACTGAGTAGTGGTTCCCTTCATGAGTTATTACTCATATATGGCACACAGTTAAAAAGATCCAGGTTTACTAGTCATGATCTGGTGACCAAACCACCAGGATATACACCTTTTTTTTTTTTTTTTTTCACGAGTGGCTTAACTGATGTCAAGGAGCCAGCAAAGGTAAAGCTGACCATCATTCTGCAATCATAACTATGTACAAAATACATATAATCACATTTATTTACAGAACATGTGGCGACAGGCAGAGCCGCTCAGGGCACCCACATGCATAACATGAATACAATAACAAACACAGCACCTCTAGATGTCATAGAGACAAAGACGGCACAGAGCGGAGGAAAAAAAAAAATAAAAGTTGGCACTTGTACATTTCTCCCACATCAACACAAGACGGAGACAAAATAAGAGTCGGTTTTAGTGGTAAACAATGCCGCGGCTTCTCCCCCGCAGGCCGACCTTGTGAGCAGGGCTGGATCTTTATCTGGCCTGCCTTGGCTCCTCATCAGATGCGATCGGCGCCTCACAGGAGGCAGATCAGACTCTTTCCCTCCTCGATCTCCTCCTGGACCTTGTCGCTGGACGTGGCGATCTCGGCCTGGGCCGAGAACACGGCGCAGATGAATGTGAGCACGGTGCCGCCCATGGCCGTGTAGAAGGCCCAGCCCATGGAGCAGAGCCCGGCCCGATACGGCGCGGCGTCCAGACCGCAGTACACCTGGACCTTGTCGGAACCCCAGCCAGCAGGGTACAACATCAGACCCAGAATCAGGAACAGACCTGTGAGGAGACAAGCAGGTCAATGGTTATTGAGGGCTGGCAATGAAATACAGAACAAACAGCAGCCCTGTTGCCATGGCACAAGAAAAATACGACAACGTATGATGTCAACCTGAGTTTCTGTCATCTTTATTTAACATCACTTTTACAAGATGGAGATAAAAATCCAAGTATGATTTCGAGCTCAGATATCCAGATGTGTGGTTTAGTCATTCGGCAGTAAAGTGAAGTTGAGAACCCTTGACGGAGCATTTCATCTAACAGTACACAAAGCTTTTTTTGGGACCTGCTGGTCCAAAAAAGGTCCAAAAATACCTAAGGCCAAGTTTCCCTGCCAGGTTTGGAGTTCAGGTACGCATTTTTGCAAGTTGTAGTAATGGAAAGCAATGTATCCAGGTGATAATATTCAATACAGAAGATGCTGGGGTCAGGGCGTTTGCACAAACGCTGGAAAAGAAATGTTTTTTACAATTCAAGTGTTTATACATGTGGTCTTGTTATATTTACTTGTTCTTCTGTCTGTTTGGTTGGCTGATATATCCAAAGTATCAGCAAATGAGCCAAGGAAAGGAAAAAAAAGACAGATTGTGTTTATCAGCTAGTTTTTAGTTTTCTGTTTGCTTTGGATGAAAATAACCAGTGAGATGTTTCCAAATATTGATCAGAATCAGAATCCTGTTCATTGGCAGAGTTTTCATTCACAAAAAAAAAAAAAAAAAAAAAAAAAACAGGTGACAAAGTTGGGAAATATCCAATCTTACTACATTCAAACATGTATGTACTAGATAAAAAAAAAAAAACATTGCTTTTTGGAAAGGTGTAGAAACATTTCACTGATCTGACATGAAACTCATTTTATGTCAACGGAAATAAGAAAACTTGTAAGGCAGTCTTTCATGTTGTGTCATCTGGAAATTCAGATGTTAGAAAGTCCTTTATGGACCAATGTTGATGCTGTTAATTATTTAGGTTAATATGTTAATTATCATTGATGATGTTTGAGTTTATTACACATTAATATTAGCTGCCTGTTGCGTGTCAGAACTGATGTTTTCCCCAGTAGTTTATCTAATTAGGACAGTTCCTCGGTCCCGCTATGTACAGTTATAATCTTCATTTAGTACGTAACAAATATTTGGGAATGCAAGGAGCCTTCAGCTAAGAACAAAGTGTAATATTTTGATAAGGCTGGAGCCATGGATGTTTCCTCATCTGTAAATGTGTATGATGGAAAATGTGATGATGTGACAGACTGGAGATGTATAAAATGATTCTTTAACCGTTTGTCGAGGCTCCTTCCCGAGAAGTGAGCTCAGTTGGTAAGCAGCTGCCTTCTGTAACCCTAAGCAACTTCTCTGATCTGAGTAAGATTACAACCGGTTCCGTGTTTTCCAATTCCATGGCACGGTTTGGCAGCTGACTTAATGATTCTCTTAACGATTTCAGGCAGCACCACAGCCGCTCTGGGAAGGAAGACTTACGTCATGTTTTTTTACGCAAGTTACGCACACGACATTCAGTTAGCAAGTACGACGTGACCAGGCGTTAGTCTAGAAAAGTAAAACAAAAGCAGTCAAACCGATCGAAAGATTGGCTTCATTTTTAGGAAGAGAAAGATGGCAACAAGGCCCTTTGCAATCTTTGCAAAGTTGCCATTACATCCGCGGGGAAATATATCCAACATGGCATACATTTTAACGAATGCCGTGTTTTTGATGCTTTTGGACAGAAGCTAAAGTTTCGACCAGCATGGAAGGCAACTCTGGTGGTAAGTAGCTAGTTTTATATCACCGGCTGTGCTTAATGTGGTTCCTAGTAAATCAGATGCGTTTTCTGGAAATAAACCCATTTCCTACCTCTCTTTGGGGTTATTAAGGGAGTGGGGCTTTCTCTTTAATTAGAACTACTGGTAGCTTGAATTTTTACATGATTCTAGCAATTGCAATGGTTTTAACCAAACACCCTACAAAGTTGCTCCGCAGATCAGTGAGCGAGAGAAAGGTGACGCTCATTTATGTAAATCAAGGGGAGATGAGTTTATTTCCTGAAATTGTCCAGTAATGCTTTTTCATTAAACTGATGCCTTCTCCATTAGATTGAGATGACTGTGACGTGATGGGTAGCATGGCTAGCTCAGAGGCTGGCAGCTCCTGTTCACTGCCTTCAGAAATAGAATGTCCCAGGGGAAGGTAGACGAATGTCACAGTGCACTTACTAAGTTCATTGTTTCACAGAATCGATAAGAGAATCGGAATTGTGAAAATCCTATCAATTCCCAGCCCTAGTCAAATCTCATGGTTATTTAATACATAGAAGTTATGAAGTGTTATTTAGAGAGTTTGTCTCGACTGATCTCTTTTCAGGAAAACAAACTGGAGAGCTTCAAGGTGTAAACAAAGCTTTGCTTAAACAATGCCATGCATCAAAGATCGTCTTGGAAGAAAGTAAAGGACAGATTGGCCTGTTTTTCTGTGTTGTCTTTGCACAAGATATAGATCTCACCCAAACCATTTAGCCTGTTCTCTAAATCAGCGGTCCCCAACCACCGGGCCGCGGACCGGTACCGGTCCG